GCTTGCAATGCCCGCCGTTATTACTAAAGGTGTCCCAGTGTCAACGGCTGTTAAGATGGCAATGCCAGGACGGGCTAAAATTTTATGTAGTAATGTGTCTCATCGTATCCCACCCCGGCCCCGTAGAAAGTGACCATATTGCACCGTAGACCGGCCAGCAGGAAAAGTGGATCTGGCTAGTCCAGGACCCCACTCCGTCTCCATGACGCCTGTCCTACACTTGGCAGCAGCTCATCATCTCGCACTGTCCTGCGGGAGAAAAGACCCTCCAGCCACACCCGGTCCGCCGCAGAGACCGCGGTGGAGGACACGGGAGCTCCAGGATCCAAACGGTCCGCCCAGCCTGCAGTCCAGCGCCCGGCCCGCGCGGCAACCCACCTCGTCCAGCAGGGGCGTACGTGTTGTGACGGTCCTGCGACTTGGCCAGCAGCTCGGCCAGGTCGGCGCCGCTGCGTCAGCTGACTGCCGTCGGCGCGGCGGTGCGCGCGCAGCGTCTGCACCGAGTCCTCCAGCGTGCGCACGTCACCTTCCAGCAGCGCACTTCGGGCCTCGCTGTTCTGCAGGACAGCGGCTCGGGTCAGCGGCTGGTGCGCGCCGCCCGGCGTGCGGCTCCACGGTCAGAGACGCGTTGTCGGCAACGAACCAATCCGGACTTACCTGCATTGTCCGTCAAGTTAGCCACGTACACCCTTGCAGATTGCGTGACATGTTCCGGCCCTTATTCCCTTTTATATTTAAAATTGCGTTATCAAATGGAGCGAGCTGTGAAAAAAGCATCCGTACATGGCAACATCGACTCCACTGCGATGCACATGGGGTTTTAAACTACAATAACAGCAAACTCTTGATTGCAAACAAACGTTCTTTAATGGTGTTCAAGCGGGAAATTATTTCAACTCTGCATTATCAGCCTGAACCTCCGTTGACGTTTTGCGGTGTGCACCATGCGATGACAATACCGACATAAGATGTGGAAATGTGCATTGTTAAAGTCACATAGCAAAAATACGTTTGCACTACATCTTAATTTACGTAACTCAGCATACAATCGGAATCATGGCGATCCGTCCTCCGGTCTCTGGTACCAGTTTTAGAGGATTAAATCCCATTCGTGGATTGTAGTATCCTCGCACGAGTGGTGAATAAAAGTTTATTCGATTTTACCAGACCATCAACGTTAATCCCAAAGTATCGAAGTCTTCAAACATTACATGCAAGCATAGCATCACGCCGATAGCTTAAGCACAAACTTGAGCCATTCATGAATTGAATCAGCATTAATATACACGCCACTTATCCTGTAATCAGTTAACGTCCGAAGTATGTCGAACGCTGAAGCACGTGTTACCGCTAGCTCGGGAAACGCCTAGCAGCATACTTGGTAGTCACCAACCCTCGTTGGTAGCAACACCCCAAAGATGCGGCGAAGGACCGCACTGACCTGCTGCAGCTGAAGCAGCCTCGTCACGTTGAAGCTCTCGGCGAGGTCGGCCACCTGGCCCTTCAACATTGTGACCATGTCCTTGAGCCACTCGACCACGGTGTGCTCGGAGCCGTTGTCGTCGGCGACCCTCGCTGCTGACGCCTCGCTCGCTTCCTTCAACCGGCGAATCTCCTGACTGTGAAGACACGAGCGAAGACGCCGTCAGCGCGCCAGACGCGGAGCACGGCGTCAGTCCGCCGCCATGGCCGCGGTAAGGCCGGACGAACTCGGAAGTGGCCAATCGAACATTGGTGGAGCCATGCGTCGATCAGCCAAGGGTTCACGCAGATTGTCGTCACCGCGGTAAAATACGCTCCGTTGCTGCATATGGACATTTCACGAATAAATATCTATTGTGTATGCTTGATGGAACACGACGCACAGGTAGTATCCACAAATGAGCCAAAAGGAACAAATGGAAAGGCTCAACGCAAAATCTTGGCAGGGGTTTCCGTAAGCCGTGGGGTTCAGTTTTAGATTTGCTTGCACCACGATTACGCAAAGTTATGCAAATTTATATGTTTACCACCACCTTGGAAAAACCCAAGGTCCGGACATGTTCGATGACTCAGAACTAAATGATTTAGCAATCCTTGAAGATTACATCCATCGAAG